CATTATCAGGGGCCTGATGATAAAGAAGTCTGTAGATTTTTTCATGCTCATCATTATCAGGGGCCTGATGATAAAGAAGTCTGTAGATTTTTTCATGCTCATCATTATCAGGGGCCTGATGATAAAGAAGTCTGTAGATTTTTTCATGCTCATCATTATCAGGGGCCTGATGATAAAGAAGTCTGTAGATTTTTTCGCGCTCATCATTATCAGGGGCCTGATGATAAAGAAGTCTGTAGATTTTTTCGCGCTCATCATTATCAGGGGCCTGATGATAAAGAAGTCTGTAGATTTTTTCGCGCTCATCATTATCAGGGGCCTGATGATAAAGAAGTCTGTAGATTTTTTCATGCTCATCATTATCAGGGGCCTGATGATAAAGAAGTCTGTAGATTTTTTCGCGCTCATCATTATCAGGGGCCTGATGATAAAGAAGTCTGTAGATTTTTTCGCGCTCATCATTATCAGGGGCCTGATGATAAAGAAGTCTGTAGATTTTTTCGCGCTCATCATTATCAGGGGCCTGATGATAAAGAAGTCTGTAGATTTTTTCGCGCTCATCATTATCAAGGGCCTGATGATAAAGAAGTCTGTAGATTTTTTCGCGCTCATCATTATCAGGGGCCTGATGATAAAGAAGTCTGTAGATTTTTTCGCGCTCATCATTATCAGGGGCCTGATGATAAAGAAGTCTGTAGATTTTTTCACGCTCATCATTATCAGGGGCCTGATGATAAAGAAGTCTGTAGATTTTTTCACGCTCATCATTATCAGGGGCCTGATGATAAAGAAGTCTGTAGATTTTTTTGCGCTCATCATTATCAGGGGCCTGATGATAAAGAAGTCTGTAGATTTTTTCATGCTCATCATTATCAGGGGCCTGATGATAAAGAAGTCTGTAGATTTTTTCATGCTCATCATTATCAGGGGCCTGATGATAAAGAAGTCTGTAGATTTTTTCGCGCTCATCATTATCAGGGGCCTGATGATAAAGAAGTCTGTAGATTTTTTCGCGCTCATCATTATCAGGGGCCTGATGATAAAGAAGTCTGTAGATTTTTTCACGCTCATCATTATCAGGGGCCTGATGATAAAGAAGTCTGTAGATTTTTTCGCGCTCATCATTATCAGGGGCCTGATGATAAAGAAGTCTGTAGATTTTTTCGCGCTCATCATTATCAGGGGCCTGATGATAAAGAAGTCTGTAGATTTTTTCGCGCTCATCATTATCAGGGGCCTGATGATAAAGAAGTCTGTAGATTTTTTCGCGCTCATCATTATCAGGGGCCTGATGATAAAGAAGTCTGTAGATTTTTTTGCGCTCATCATTATCAGGGGCCTGATGATAAAGAAGTCTGTAGATTTTTTCATGCTCATCATTATCAGGGGCCTGATGATAAAGAAGTCTGTAGATTTTTTCATGCTCATCATTATCAGGGGCCTGATGATAAAGAAGTCTGTAGATTTTTTCATGCTCATCATTATCAGGGGCCTGATGATAAAGAAGTCTGTAGATTTTTTCATGCTCATCATTATCAGGGGCCTGATGATAAAGAAGTCTGTAGATTTTTTCGCGCTCATCATTATCAGGGGCCTGATGATAAAGAAGTCTGTAGATTTTTTCGCGCTCATCATTATCAGGGGCCTGATGATAAAGAAGTCTGTAGATTTTTTTGCGCTCATCATTATCAGGGGCCTGATGATAAAGAAGTCTGTAGATTTTTTCATGCTCATCATTATCAGGGGCCTGATGATAAAGAAGTCTGTAGATTTTTTCGCGCTCATCATTATCAGGGGCCTGATGATAAAGAAGTCTGTAGATTTTTTCGCGCTCATCATTATCAGGGGCCTGATGATAAAGAAGTCTGTAGATTTTTTCGCGCTCATCATTATCAGGGGCCTGATGATAAAGAAGTCTGTAGATTTTTTCGCGCTCATCATTATCAGGGGCCTGATGATAAAGAAGTCTGTAGATTTTTTCGCGCTCATCATTATCAGGGGCCTGATGATAAAGAAGTCTGTAGATTTTTTCGCGCTCATCATTATCAGGGGCCTGATGATAAAGAAGTCTGTAGATTTTTTCGCGCTCATCATTATCAGGGGCCTGATGATAAAGAAGTCTGTAGATTTTTTCGCGCTCATCATTATCAGGGGCCTGATGATAAAGAAGTCTGTAGATTTTTTCACGCTCATCATTATCAGGGGCCTGACGATAAAGAAGTCTGTAGATTTTTTCGCGCTCATCATTATCAGGGGCCTGATGATAAAGAAGTCTGTAGATTTTTTCGCGCTCATCATTATCAGGGGCCTGATGATAAAGAAGTCTGTAGATTTTTTCGCGCTCATCATTATCAGGGGCCTGATGATAAAGAAGTCTGTAGATTTTTTCGCGCTCATCATTATCAGGGGCCTGATGATAAAGAAGTCTGTAGATTTTTTCGCGCTCATCATTATCAGGGGCCTGATGATAAAGAAGTCTGTAGATTTTTTCACGCTCATCATTATCAGGGGCCTGACGATAAAGAAGTCTGTAGATTTTTTCGCGCTCATCATTATCAGGGGCCTGATGATAAAGAAGTCTGTAGATTTTTTCGCGCTCATCATTATCAGGGGCCTGATGATAAAGAAGTCTGTAGATTTTTTCGCGCTCATCATTATCAGGGGCCTGATGATAAAGAAGTCTGTAGATTTTTTCGCGCTCATCATTATCAGGGGCCTGATGATAAAGAAGTCTGTAGATTTTTTCACGCTCATCATTATCAGGGGCCTGATGATAAAGAAGTCTGTAGATTTTTTCACGCTCATCATTATCAGGGGCCTGATGATAAAGAAGTCTGTAGATTTTTTTGCGCTCATCATTATCAGGGGCCTGATGATAAAGAAGTCTGTAGATTTTTTCATGCTCATCATTATCAGGGGCCTGATGATAAAGAAGTCTGTAGATTTTTTTGCGCTCATCATTATCAGGGGCCTGATGATAAAGAAGTCTGTAGATTTTTTCGCGCTCATCATTATCAGGGGCCTGATGATAAAGAAGTCTGTAGATTTTTTCGCGCTCATCATTATCAGGGGCCTGATGATAAAGAAGTCTGTAGATTTTTTCACGCTCATCATTATCAGGGGCCTGATGATAAAGAAGTCTGTAGATTTTTTCACGCTCATCATTATCAGGGGCCTGATGATAAAGAAGTCTGTAGATTTTTTTGCGCTCATCATTATCAGGGGCCTGATGATAAAGAAGTCTGTAGATTTTTTCATGCTCATCATTATCAGGGGCCTGATGATAAAGAAGTCTGTAGATTTTTTTGCGCTCATCATTATCAGGGGCCTGATGATAAAGAAGTCTGTAGATTTTTTCATGCTCATCATTATCAGGGGCCTGCTGCGCCTGCGACTGCTTCTGTGTGTGTGAGACCCGTGATCTAACCCCCTCTTCTTCCCCCCTCTTCTCCCCCCCCCCCAACCCACTACCCCTCCCCCCACCACCCACCAGGACGAGGTGCATGAGCGCGATAAATTTGCAGACTTCATGCTCATCATTCTCAGAGATCTGCTACGCCTGCACCCCACTCTCAAGCTGGTCAGTCACCAAATGCTCTCACTTCCTTGCCAGAGATATCGACTTTTGAGGCGTCTCAAAAGTCGCCTGCGACCCACTCTCAAGCTGGTCGGTCCCCCTCCCCATGCCTCATCGCCTGGTGTTAGATGCTAGAGTGCCTCATTCTCCCTGCAAGAATCTCGTGCTCTCACCTCGTGCTCTCCTCATGCTCTCCTCATGCTCACCTCCCGCTCTCCTCATGCTCTCCTCATGCTCACCTCACGCTCTCCTCATGCTCTCCTCATGCTCTCCTCATGCTCACCTCCTGCTCACCTAATGCTCACCTCATTCTCACCTCCCTGTTTAATATGTTTGAGCATTCTCGAACAGCCTTTCTCCTTTTTGAGGCGTCTGTCCCTCCTATTCTGTTCATATTGTAAGGCGCCTCAGATGTTGATGATGTGTTGTTATCCTATCATGATTGGCTGTTCTCCCTTTTGAGACATGTCAGCTGTTCTCCCTTTTGAGACATGTCAAAATTCGATCTGTTGGTATGCATGCAGTTATCATTCCCAGGAAATTTACTATTTTCCTTCTTGAGGCATCTCGAAAGTCGACTGACTATCAGTCACGTGCCATTTGACTCGACTAATCTTCCCTCCTCAGGTGCAACCCTGGATGCTGGGCTGTGTGCAAACTACTTCAATTCTCTAGGCTCCTCAAAGACTGACTATGCCAATGCCATTTCCCTGGACTAATCTTCCCTCCCCAGGTGCTTATGAGTGCAACCCTTGATGCCGGGCTGTTTGCAAACTATTTCGGGGGCTGCCCCGTCATCAACGTCCCTGGCTTCACATATCCGGTCGGTTTTTTTGTTCGCGTTAGATTATTACTGACGTTACGGATCAGGTTGCACGCTATATATGTGCATTTGGTTTTATCTCTATGTTGATCTTCTGTATTGCATCACAAACCATTTTGCGTTAAGTTCTGCTTTGCAGGTGCGAGCGAACACTCTACCTGACAGATATTCTCCACATGACAAGTTTACGGGAACAGTTTTCTGGCGGTCTTTTTACGTGTCTTTTAACCATGCTATATATTGATTTTATGTTAATTTTTTCATGCTTGGCAGGTGCGATCACTGTACCTGGAGGATATCCTTCGCATCACAAATTACGGCAACAATTTCGCTAGTGGGGCTTTCAATAAGGGAGCACTGCAAGCCATGGATGTCGAAAGGGAAGCAGCACAGGCCGAAGTGCGTGTGGGAGGAGGGGGTGAGGGAGCAGGAGAGGGAGAGGGAGAAGGTGAGGAGCAAGGAGAGGAGGAGGTGGAGGAAGGGGAGGTGGGGGAAGACGAGGAGGAGGAAGGGGAGGAAGCAGCAGGGGTGAATGCGGAGGAGGAGGATGAGGTGGAGGAAGGGGAGGTGATAGGTCTAACAGCAAAGGACGCAGCAGCCATGGATGAGGCTATAAGACTCGCTTGGATGTTGGATGATTTCGATGATTTAATGGAGCTAGTGGTATCAGGGCATGAGGAGGCGAAGCTGCAGGGAATGATGAGTAGAATGATGATGGCAGCAGCACAGAGCAGCGGTGGTGGCGGTGGTGACGGTGGTGGTGGTGATGGTGACGGTGGTGATGGTGTTGGTGGTGGGGGGGTGGGAGGAGAGAAGGGAAGGATGTTGAGACGAATTTTGAGGCGGAAGAGGAAGGAGAGTCAGTTGCAGGAGATGTTTGGAGGGGAGGAGGAGGCGAAGCAAAAGGGGGGGAAGCGAAGGAGGAGAAGGAAAGGGAGAGGTGACGGTGGTGGGCGTGGGCGTGGTGGGCGTGGTGGGCGGGGTGTGAGGATAAACATATGTGACTATGCGCACTCGGAAACAGGGGCTACGCCCTTGATGGTTGCCGCTGGTGAGTGAACTTTTGAGTCGACTCAAAAGTCAACTCGGTGGTGGGCGGGGTGGGCGTGGGCGTGGTGGGCGGGGTGTGAGGATAAACATATGTGACTATGCGCATTCGGAAACAGGGGCTACGCCCTTGATGGTTGCCGCTGGTGAGTGAACTTTTGAGTCGACTCAAAAGTCAACTCGTTGGTGGGCGGGGTGGGCGTGGGCGTGGTGGGCGGGGTGTGAGGATAAACATATGTGACTATGCACCTTCGGAGACAGGGGCTACTTTATTGATGGTTGCTGCTGGTGAGCGCGTCTGTGCTAAGCTTGCCCCCCCTTTGTCTCGCACCCTCCTCCTCTCCCACTCCCCTGCGTTGTCTCACCTCCTCCTGACCTCCTCTCTCCGTCCTCATCCCTTCGCTCCCTATGAACGGCCATCAGGCCCCTGAAAAGGATTGGCTTAACTCAACTCTTGAAAAGAAACGTCTCAACTCAATTCCTCGTTTCTCCCCTCGTCCCTTGATTCTGGAGCGACCAACAGGCAAGGGGAGAACAGAGGAGGTGGAGATGCTGCTGTCGCTGGGGGCTGATGTGACTCTCTCTCCCCCTCCCCCTCCTCCCACCCGCCCACCCCCCACCCCTTGCTGTTAAATCCCCAACAGGCAAGGGGAGAGCAGAGGAGGTGGAGATGCTGCTGTCGCTGGGGGCTGATGTGACTCTCACATCAGACGAGGGCAGCACGGCGCTTGACTGGGCGCGCATGTACGGCCATGAGGCGGTGTGCCGGATTCTTGAGAGACACATGGAGGCGCTGGGCTTGGGAATGCCGGAGGAGGGGGAGGAGGTTTTTGAGGCGCCTCAAAAACGACCTCAATGCTCGCTGGGCTTGGGAGTGCCGGAGGAGGGGGAGGAGGTTGAGGAGGGAGAGGAAGGGGAGGAGAGGGGAATGGATGAGGGGGAGGGAATGCAGGAAGAGAAGGGCGAGAGGCAGGGAGAGGTATCCAAGGCCGACGCAACAACTGATGCCGCTGCTGCTGCTGCTGCTGCTCCTGCTGCTGCTGCTGCTGGTGCTGCTGTGGCTGTGCCTGTGAGTGCAGAAGCAGCGAGGCTGGCAGCACAGGAGCAAGTGGCGCTCTCTTTATACCAAGCGTCTGTGGATCATGATGAGGTGGATTTGGCCCTCATCCACCTCCTGCTGACTAGGATCTGCGTCAGCGCGGCAGAGCGGCCGGCAGCACTCACGAGCAGCAGCGCCTTTGCTTCCAGAAAATCCCAACAGATGGTGAAACAGGGAGAATGGAAGGAGGGAGAGGAGGGGGAAGAGGAAGACGAGCTTCTATCTCTCATTCCGACTTACAGCAAGGAAGGCAGGGAGGGTGGAGGAGCAGGAGAGGCAGGAGGAGCAGCAGCAGGGGACGGGGGAGCAGGTCTGAACGGGCCAGACTGCGCTATCCTCGTGTTTCTCCCGGGGTGGGAGGAAATCTCCCGCCTGAGAGACCGGCTGCTGGGTTCCTCTGTGTTTGGAGACCCGACGCGGTTCCTGATACTGCCGCTGCACTCGAAGATTCCGATGCCGGATCAGCGGAAGGTGTTTGAGCGGCCGGGGCAGGGCGTGCGGAAGATTGTGCTCACGACGAATATCGCCGAGACGGCGCTGACGATCGATGACATTGTGTTTGTGGTTGATTCCGGAAGGTTGAAGGAGAAGAGCTACGATGCGCACACGAATGTGTCTACCCTGCAGGTGGGTGGGGTGGGGCGTGAGAGGGCGAGTGTCTTGTGTTTTTGTTCAGGGCGAAACTGGGAATGTTTTCAGCTCAAATGAAGGCCGGGGCGGGGCGTGCGGAAGATTGTGCCGACGACGAATATCGCAGAGACGGCGCTGACGATCGATGACATTGTGTTTGTGGTTGATTCCGGGAGGTTGAAGGAGAAGAGCTACGATGCGCACACGAATGTGTCCACCCTGCAGGTGGGTGGGGTGGGGTGGGGCTTGAGAGGGCGAGTGTCTTGTGTTTGTGTTCAGGGCGAAACTGGGAATGTTTTCAGCTCAAATGAAGGCCGGGGCGGGTCGTGAAAAAGATTGTGCTCACGACGAATATCGCCGAGACGGCGCTGACGATCGATGACATTGTGTTTGTGGTGGACTCGGGGCGGCTCAAGGAGAAGAGCTACGATGCGCACACGAATGTGTCTACCCTGCAGGTGGGTGAATCCCTGAAAGGGCGAGTGTGTTGCGTTTGTGTTCTGGCCAGGACTGGACGTTTGTGTTCGCAGCTCACTAGGAAGGCCGGGATGGGGCGCGCGGATGATTGTGAGAGGCCTGGGATGGGGCTTGTGTTTGTGTTTGTGTTGTGCTCACGCCCGGCATCGCGGAGACGGCGCTGACGATTGATGACGTTGTGTTTGTGGTTGATTCTGGAAGGTTGAAGGAGAAGAGCTACGACGCACACACCAACGTGTCTACCCTGCAGGTAGGTGGAAGGGGGCCAGGGAAAGGGGTGGTGGGTGGTTTGATGGGGGGGTTGGCAGCTTTTCAGACGCCTCAAAATGCTGCTAGGGAGGGGCGTGCGGAAGATGGGGCTGCAGCTGTTGAAGCGCCCCTCAAAGGCCGGGGCGGGGGGTGAGGAAGATTGTGGTTACAACGAATATTGCCGATGCGGGGCTGACGATTGCACGCTCTCCCTTCCCTCACTCTATCTCCCTTCCCCTCAGGTCTGTTGGGTCTCCAAAACCATTGCGCGCCAGTGCCAGGGCAGAGCAAGGCGGTGCAAACCAGAGGTGTGCTTCCACCTCTTTTCACACCCATAACCCTCTCCTCTCTCTTCCTTCTAACGCCCCCTCGCCCCCGCAGGTCTGTTGGGTGTCCAAAGCTAGTGCGCGCCAGCGGCAGGGAAGGGCAGGGCGGTGCAGGCCGGGGGTGTGCTTCCATCTCTTTTCGCGCACGCGAGCTGGGTCTCTGCCGGAATTTCAGGCGCCGGAAATCAAACGCACGCCCCTGGAAGAGCTTTGCTTGCAGGTACAGTGTGTGGTGTTGTTTAGTACAGTTGTGCAGTGGGCTGGGTTGCTTGTATTATTGCGCGGATTCCTTGCCCGATTCTCTGTGCACTCCTGTAAGACATCGGCGCTCTGGACCTACTCTACCCTCTCTCGCTCACGAACCTCTCTTGTTCACGACCCTCTCACTCACCCTCTTGTGGCTTTATTGTCAGAAGATCTGCACTGGGGATGCCTGATTGATCCTAGAGAGGGTTACAGGTTCGCTAGTTTAGAAGGTTATGGGTGCACTCACCCGCTACTTAACAAGCCAATTTATCACAGTGGTTTAGTGGCTGGGATTCTGACATTGTATCAGAGCGAAGATCTCGGGTTCTAATCCCCATGTCGCACATGCTGGCGCTGTCGTTCATGTTTTAGGGCATTCTTGTGAAGGGGGTGTCAGAAGACCTGCACTGGGGATGCACGATTGATCCCAGGGAATGGTTTCAGGCTTGCTAGCCGGGGTTATGGGCGCATTCATCTGCTACTTATCGTGTTATTTTATTTCTGTGTTCTAGTGGTTGGGATTCTGTCACTTACATAGTCTAGCGTGGGCTTGTTTGAGCTCCCAGCGACTTCCAAAATGCTCCCTCACTCTCTGCTCCTTTCTTTCTCCTCACTCCTCCCTCCTCTTTCCTTCCCTCCCTTCCTCCTCTTCCCCTCCCTGCCTTCCCCCCATCAGATCAAGATTCTCAACCCTTCACTGGATATCCCTCTCTTTCTCTCAAAAGCCCTTGAGCCCCCGGTCCCCGCCGCAATCACCAACGCCGTCGCCCTCCTGCAAGACATCGGTGCTCTCGACCCCCACCAGTCCCTCACGCCCCTCGGGGCCCACCTAGGCGCCCTCCCCCTCCACCCAGTCACCTCCAAAATGCTCCTCCACTCGATTCTCCTGGATTGCCTTGGCCCGGCTCTTACTGTCGCTGCTGCCAGCACCTATCGGGATCCGTTCCAGATGCCTATAGGGCTTGATCAGAAGCTTAAAGCCATTGCTGCAAGGCACGCGTTGGGGAATTCCCTGGGCGGGTATGGGGATCATCTCGCGCTCATTGCTGCGTTTGATGGGTGGGCTGAGGCGAAGGCGAGAGGGGGGGCTCGGGCTGCAGATGGGTTTTGCCGGCGGAATTTCTTGTCGCCAGGTGGGATGAATATGATCTCTGGGCTGAGGAAGCAGCTGAGAGGAGAGCTGCTGCGGAAAGGGTTTCTAGGGAGTGTGCGCGGGGGGAGAGGAGGAGGGTGGGGAGGAGGGCGAGGGAGGGGAGGCGACGGCAGAGGAGGAGGAAGAGGAGGAGGGGGATGGGATGTGAATGTGGATTTGGATTGCGAGTGTAATGCGAATGGGAGGAACCAAGGAGTGGTGAGGGCGGTGTTAGCAGCGGGCTTGTACCCGTTTGTAGCTAGTCTCGTACCGAAAACGCCAACTGGGAAGCAACCGGCGGTGGTAGTGACAGCCCGAGGCGAGAAGGTTCGGATCCATCCGCACTCGGTCAACTGCCGAGCCTTGCACCGAGGCGCGGAGGCAGGTTCGGGAACGGCTGGCGGCGCTGGGGAGAGCGGTGGTGTGGAGAGCATTGAGGAATCATCTCGGCCGTTGATTGTGTTTGATGAGATCGTGAGGGGCGAGGGGAACCAGACGATTAGATCGTGTACTGTGGTTCGCCCACTCTCTCTCATCCTGATTGCGTCAGAGATGGTTGTTGCTCCTCTAGGGCCTCTGAAGGCAGGATGGGAGGAGGATGGAGATGGGGAGAAGGAAGAAGGGAATGGAGAAGGGGAGGGAGAAGAAGAGGGAGAAGGGAAGGTGGAAGGAGAGGGAGAAGGGAAGGGAGAAGGGGTGGAGGTGCGGAAAAGGAAGAGACGGCAGCGGAGGCAACGGGGAGAGGGGGAGTCGGGCCAGGGAGAAGAAGAAGCAGTGGGGGAAGGAAGTGAAGCAGTTAAGATGGAGTTGGGGAAAGGAGAAGAGGGCGAGGGGGCCAGGGGGAACGCGCGCAAGGAGGGAGAGGACGAGGAGGAAAGGTTGGAGGAGGAAGGGGAGTATGTTTCAGGTGCGGAGGATGAGGAGGGGGAGGAGGAGGAGGGGCCAGTGGTGGTGCCGAATCCCAAGAGTGCGAGGGAGAGGAGGCGGAAATTGCAGGAGGAGGTCATGAGCGATCCTGGCCGTGAGATCGTGATTGTGATCGATCGATGGCTGAGATTCCGCACCACGGCCATGCTGGCGGCTCAGCTGTTCTGCCTGAGGGAGAGGCTGGCCGCTTGCTTTGCCACCAAGGTGGGTGCTGGGATGAGCCGGTGGGTGCTGGGATGAGCCGGTGGGTGCTGGGATGAGCCGGTGGGTGCTGGGATGAGCCGGTGGGTGCTGGGATGAGCCGGTGGGTGCTGGGATGAGCCGGTGGGTGCTGGGATGAGCCGGTGGGTGCTGGGATGAGCCGGTGGGTGCTGGGATGAGCCGGTGGGTGCTGGGATGAGCCGGTGGGTGCTGGGATGAGCCGGTGGGTGCTGGGATGAGCCGGTGGGTGCTGGGATGAGCCGGTGGGTGTTGGGATGAGCCGTTGGGTGCTGGGATGAGCCGTTGGGTGCTAGGCTGAGCCGGCTCCTCTTGTTTTACTGCTGGTCTGAGCTGTTGTCTCGTCGCTATCGTTGGCTGAGCTTTTCCCTCTCCCTCACGCCCCCACTCTCTCCCTCCCTCCCATGCCCTCTCTCTGTCTCCCCCCTCAGGTCCATGATCCGAGGAAGCCGCTCCCTCCCCTCCAAGCACTGACGCTCTACACCATCGCCTCCCTCCTCTCCTTCGAGAACTACTTGCTTCCACCTCCAGCCAGCGAATCTGGACCCGCTGGTGACAAATCAGCTCCGGCCGGACCTCGCAAGGGTGCCCTCTTGCCCGGGCCTCAGGGCCCTAGCTTTGGTGCGGGGTTTGGTGGCAGGTTCGGAAGAGGTGGTGGCTGGGGAGGAGGGAGGGGAGCAGGAAGGGGTGGTGGGCGGTTCAGTGCGAGGGGAAGGGGTAGGAGTGGTGTAGGGTTCGGTCGAGGTGGTGGACAAATGGGAGGGGGGATCAACACTGGGTTTTAGGGAAGTGCCATGTCAGTTAGTGTATGTTGAAGTGAAGTAAGACATGCAAATTAAAAAGATGCAGATTGAATACAGGAACAAACAAGTATGCAGGGCAGGTACTGTCCTTATCATTTTTTTTTCCTAAGAAGCAAATCTGGCTCTCTGCGGTAATTTGTAAGGTGTTTTGGTCAGGGTTTTTTCTTGAATTGTCTCGAGCTTCTGATTTATTGTCAGTGATATTAGCATACCCTCATGTAGCTCTATTGTTATTCCTAGTGGATGTAGTACTTCCTCAAGTGATTCTTGGCTAGATCCTTTCTTCTCATGTGATAAGGGGTATAAGGGTACGTATATCGCACATGCCTTCTTTCGAATCGTTACAATCAAAGGTGAATTACCATTCGCGAAGAGCCCAGAAGCTGTTTCGACCTTCGTGGAACTCGATACGCAGTTTCGCCACTATGGGAAGGGATGCATGCTTGATGTGACTGGCGGAGCCGCACTCCCCCCCTACCCCACATGACAGGCTCCCGCCCAAGTCGTCTTCCCCCGCGCGAAAGCGGAGCTTCCCGCGCACTGACGTGTATGAGACGCCATATCGGCTGGCACGGACATGAAGCTCATCCCAGCCGTTGCCGAGCCATCAAACATCTATAAATAACCCATCCTCGCCCTCCATTTCTTCAGGCCGCAAGTTTGCCGTTCCATCCGCCAGCTTCGGTGGCGTGTTAGCTTGAGTTTCCTCGAGTTCTGCGCGCTTTTGCCGCCGCTGCTGCTGGTGCTGCTGCTGCTCCAATTTTCGACTTCCATTGAGTTTCGAGAAACGAATTTCTGTTTTGTGCTTGTCGGGTTTGCCATACCAGTTGTGAGAGGAGGGAAGGGTGTTACTGTTAGTGTTAGGCACCGTTGCTGCCGGTTTCTTGGACTTAAAAGATAGTTGAGGAAGTGAGAGCTGCCACCGCGGCTAACGGGAACGCGGTTTGGCTGCTCGAGGTGTCGTTTCTTTCGAGTTCAGTAACAAGTTCTGCTGTGCTCCGCTGTAATTGTGCCGACTGCCTTCGCCATGGATACTCTTTACGTGCTTAAGGTGAGGATTGGAACTCAGCCATAGATTCTTAGCGTTCAACCTTAGCTTGTTCTTCTCATTTATTACTATATATCAAACTAGGCTACTCGTTGTGTTGATTCGGTTTCACACCTCCCGGACTGCCCTTTCACTTGTGTCACGCGGCGACATGTCACGTTCGCTTGCCTTGAGCTCCTTCGCGTTCCCTTTTTCCTATCAGGTCAAGTGTCGCGGACTAAAATCTTATTGTCTCAATTTACTTGCACGTTTCTTATAACCTCAAATCCTCCGCGTTGTTTTCCTTCTATCAGGTCAAGTGCCGCGGCGTCCTTCGTCGCATCTCCTCTCGTCGCGACCCTCCGGCGTTCGACCACGTGGACGGTCAGATTCGCAAGCTCTTCAAGGTTCCCGCCGACAAGCCAATCACCGTCACGTACACGGATTCCGACGGTGACGTCATAACGGTTTCCACGGACGAGGATCTTCACGACGCGTTTATCTACCAGGAGCTCAACCCGCTTCGCCTCGATGTTGCCGTGGAGTCCCTGCCAGGCGCTGACGATTTCGTCGACGTCTGCAGCCTTGACGGGTCTGTCTACTCGTCGTCGTCGTTCGGCGGAGATGCTGCTCCGTCCGCGCCGTCCGCGCCGTCCGCTGTTGCTCCCTCTGGCGTGAATCTCACTCCTGCTCCTCCTGCTTCGGATTCAGTCCCCGACTCTGCTGCTCAGGCCGTTCCTGTTCCTCCGGCAGCTTCGACCCCTGCTGTTGACGAACCTCCTCCTGCGCCAGTTCCTGCTGCTGCTCCTGCTCCTACGCAGCCCGTTCCTGCCGCTCCTGAAGCTTCCACCTCTGAGCCTGCTCCTGCTGACGCTCCTGCTGCCGCTCCCTCCGCGGCACAGCCCAGCAAGCCGTCTGTCCCGGAGAATCCTGACGAGGCGTTTGAGGCGAAAGTCGCGGAGTTTGCAACCGCGGTGGAGAATCAAATTCTGAAGGCGCTGGCGTCGGGCGGGCAGCTGGAGCGCATGCTGGCGCAGTACGGGCCGATTCTCAAGGATGCTCCTGGGAAGATTGCGCAGGTTCTGGCGACGGCGCGGCGGAGCGGGCTTGACGTGGTGTTTGAGCCGATTCTGGAGATGCACCACCGTCGCCAGCAGCAGCAGCAGCATGGGGGATTCAGCGGCGGTTGTGGGTCTTCTAAGCCTTCCACCTCATCTGCTTCTCCCGCCGCTGCTGCTGCCGCGGCTGCGGATTCTGCTGCTGCTGCCGCTGCTGATTCGGCCGCTGCTGCTGCTGATATTGCCGCTGCGGTGTCGGCTGATGTTGCTGCTGCGACCTCTGCAGTGGCTGCTGCGATTGCTGCTGCAGCAGACGCACTCGATCTCAAGCCTAAGGACGCTGCCACTTCCTCTGCTACTGCTCCTGCTCCTGCTCCTGCTCCTGCCGCTTCTGCTGCCGCTGCTGCTGCTGTTGCTGCCACGGCTGCTGCTGCTGCAGCTGCTGCGTCGGCCTCAGATTCTGCGAGTGAGAGTGGCAAGGCGGTGCACTACGGCATCACCTGTGACGGCTGTGACATGCGCCCTCTTAAGGGCAAGCGCTACCACTCTCTCGTGTAAGCATTGCTTTTTGAGAGCCCTTTCTCTGCAAACAGTTTACCTGTTGGCTCTTCCCATGCTGCGTAATCTTTTTATGCAGCCTTGCTTATTATGTTTTGTCGTTTGGGTGTTTTATTGCCTGGTTTCCTATCTGTTCATAAATCCTTATCTTCTAGTAACCGTTTTTTTTTTGTTACCATTGCTTGTGCACGTTGCCTGTGCAGGAAGCATGACTTTGACCTGTGCGAGGCATGTTACAGGAAGGAGGGATCCATCTCAGAGCATTATGAATGCATCGAGAAGCCCCCGCCTGCTAAGGTCTACTTCCCTGTCAAGCCGAAGGATGCTGCTTGTTCTGCTGGTACTGCTGCCGCTGCTGCTGCTTCAGCGACAGCATCCGCCTCTGCTGCTGCGCCCCAGGGCGGTGCTGCACAGGGAGCGAGTGAGGCTGCCAAGGCAGTGCATTACGGCATCATCTGTGACGGCTGTGACAAGCGCCCCATCCAGGGCAAGCGATACCGCTCCCTTGTGTGAGTGCATCGCCTTCTTCATTCCCAGCACACTCCTCTTGCTTCTTCTTCCCGTTTTTTTTTTTGCTGTTTTTTTTTTCTCTCGTTTATACTTTATAATTCCCTTGTTGTTACTGCCGTTCCCTTATCCGGGGCATGTGATCCTGAAGAGCTTTGCAATTCCCGTGCGTGGCTTGTGCAGGAAGGACGACTTTGACCTGTGTGAGGCGTGCTACAGCAAGGGGGGGGTGGTGCCGGAGCACTATGAGTGCATCGACCGCCCTCTCTTCCGCCCCTCGCGCCTGCAGCACATGGCCGCCCACGCCGCTGCCATGGCTGGCTTGGTGAGCAGCGCAGCCGTTGCATGCCGCTGCTTGGATTGCACAGCTCACTCGCCCACTAGCTATGCTGCTTTTATTTTTCTCCGCTGTTTTGCGCTTCTTCAACTTTATCCTGCTCGTGCTGTTTTTTTTTTTTTTTTTTTTTTTTTTTTCTTGCACACTGCTTCTTCGCCCTGCTTATTCATATTTTCTTGTCTCACTGCCTCTCTTTTCCACAGCAGCCGGGAGCAGGTCGTCCCTTCTTCGCCCCGCGCCCGCACTGCCCCTTCACGCACCACTCCATGCCGCACGCTTGGGGGCCTGGCGCTCCTTTCAACAAGCACCAGCATCATCACCAGCACCCTCACCACCACCCAAACAGCTCTGCTTTCACCGGCAGCTGCAGCGTGGGGGGGTCCGTGGGCGGAGCAGTGGGGGGGTCGGTGGGGCAGTTGCAGTATGGCAGGGCGCATGGGAGGCTGTTGGACGCGCGGTTTGTGAGGGACGTGAGTGTGCATGACGGCAAGGAGATGGCGCCACTGACGAGGTTCACCAAGATCTGGCGCCTGCGCAACAGCGGCAGCGTGCCGTGGCCCTGCGACCTGCAGGTCATTCACGCAGGAGGGGACCTGCTCTCAGAGACTACCACCGTGCCCCTTGAGGTGAGCTTTTTCTAGATGCCCACGGGCCATCCCTCATGAGGTTCACCAAGATCTGGCGCCTGCGCAACAGCGGCAGCGTGCTGTGGCCGTGCGATTTGCAAGTGATTCACGCGGGAGGGGACCTGCTTTCAGAGACCAGCACTGTGCCTCTTGAGGTGAGTCTTGATTTTTTTTGTTGGATCTCGTAGCAGTCGCGTGGAGCAGATGGTGGACGCGTTAAGCTGCTCGGGTTCCACCTGAAACTCACCCTTGTGCATGGGTTGGTCATCTCTGCTGATTGTTCTAGTGCCCTTCGTGTGTGCGGTTGCCTCGAGGAGGTGTGTATCCCTTGCAGGGGAGGTGTGTATCCCTTGCAGGGGAGGTGTGTATCCCTTGCAGGGGTGTATCCCTTGCAGGGGAGGGGTGTATCCCTTGTGGCGGTGGACATGGCAGCACCAGCTCGTCCCCCTTCCTCCCTTGTCGTCTCCCACACTCATCCTCTTTTGCATTTTGTTGTCATTCATGCCTTCCTCTCTTTGCAGTTGCCACGAGGGGGCGTGTACCCTGAACAGGAGGTTGATGTGGCGGTGGACATGGCAGCACCTGCCCGCCCCGGGCGCTACATGTCTCACTGGCGCCTGCTGGCCCCTGGAGGCCCCAAGTTCGGCCACCGCTTCTGGGCCCAGATCCAGGTCAGTATAAGCCAAGTTAAAGGTCACCTTACGGTTGCTACATGTCCCACTGGCGCCTGCTGGCCCCTGGAGGCTCCAAGTCTGGTCACCGCTTCTGGGCCCAGATCCAGTGTACCTCTTGTCCCCTTCAGGTCGGGTTCAGTGCACACACTGCAGGACGTTTCTGGTTCTGGCCTTTTGCCTCTGCGTCTGTCAGTGCGCATTTATTCACTTATGTCTGTCTGTCTGCCCCTCTCGTGTGTGTGGTGTTCAGGTCGTGGAGGCCAGTGCAATGGATGAAGAGCCGGTGCCTCTCCTTGCTGCTGCCCCTGCTGCCGTTCCTGCTGCTGCCTCTGCGCCTCCTGTGCCTGCTGCTGCTGCCGAGTCCGAGTCTCCCTCTCTGCCTGAAGCCGTTTGTGTGAAGGCCAGCCCGAGTACGGACGCAGAGAACGTACTAGCTGATGCTACTCCAGTGGAAGATGCTGCTGCTGGTGCTGCTGTTGTGGAGCAGGCAGGTGCTGAGGAGGCTGTGGAGGAGAGTGGTGTGGTATCTGTCGCGGAAGTAGCAGAGGAGAAGGAGGAGGCTGGGAGTGCTCAGGAGGAGCTGGAGGAGGAGAAGGAGGAAGTTCCTGTGGAGGCGAGTGAGGTGGTGGTGGAGGAGGAAGTTAAGGAGGTGAAGGAAGACGTGAAGGCGGAGGAAGAGGAGAAGCCGGAGGAGGAGACGCAGGAAGAGAAGAAGCAGGATGAGCAGGAGTGGGAGGATCCGATCATCACTGCGATCCGCAACGCTGCGGATAACATCGGGACGGCAGCCGCTGGTGCTGCTGCTGCTGCTGCCGAGTCTGATGTTGGTACAGCCATGGCTGCTGTTGAAGACGTGGTGATTGACGTCGCCCCTGCCTCTGTTCAACCTGTTGTGCCTGCGCCTGCTGCTGCTGCTGTTGCTCCTGCTACAGAGGGTGCTGCAACTGCTGCTGCTGCTGCTGCTGCTGAGGAGGACTGGACTGACCTGCGCATTCCTTCCCCTGCAGACGACACCACTAGCACCACCAGCAGCACCACCACTGATGCTACCACCTCGGAGGCTATCCCCCCGGCTCTCACCGCTTCAGACGTGTCTTCCACTCTCCTGCGGCCCCTAGCCTCGTCCTCCTCGGATGCTTCTTCATCTGTCAGCACCCCTAGGGCGGAGGACACTGCTGTCGGCAGCTTCTCTCTCGTGAATGTGTCCTACCCCTCCATTGCCTCAATTGGCTGCGTTGCGCCTGTTCCCGCTTCTCCTGCGCCCGGCCAGTCCCTGTATCCCTCAGTTGAGAGCATCGGGGTTTTGGTGCAAGAATCTGCTCCTGCTGCTGCTGAGGCTGCTGCTGGCGCGGCTGCTGGTGCATTGACAGCGGATCTGCTGACAGGGGATGACTATGTGAACGTGTCTCCACCTTTTACTGCTGCGCCTGCTGCCATGCCGTCGCCTGCCAGCTTCCTGGACGAGGAAGAGGAGATTGAGATGGAGACCCCGCCTCTCATCGTCAACTCGTCCGCACCCGCTGCTGCCGCTCCTGCTGCTCCTGTGGAGGTTCCTGCTGCTCCAGCTGTTTCGTCTGCCCCGTCTGCACCTGCTGTGGCTTATGGGGGGAGATACGGCAGCCAGGTGCAGCAGCTGGTGGAAATGGGGTTCCCCTATCCTGCTCTGAATGGGGAGCTGCTGGAGTTTACCAATGGGAACATGGACGAGGTGGTAACCATGCTCGTGAAGGTTACGACCGAGTGGCAGGAGAAGATGGACGAGCTGGAAGAAATGGTGAGTTTCTCTGTTTTATGTTTGTTGTTTCAGTCCTTTTTTCCCCCGCTCAATAATTGTGGTAGGGAGATTCTCAGGTACCAGTCTGTGCATTGGTGGTGTGGTGCGTACTGACTTGGTGTTTGGTGATGTGATGTGTGTGGTTGTCATGTGAGCAGGATTTCACGGACAAGGAGCTTAACATGCGTCTGCTGCTGAAGCATGATGGCAGTTACAAGCGCACTGTGCGCGAGCTGGTGGCCCTGGACAAGGCCAGCAGGAAGGCCGGCAGGGCGGAGCGTGCGTAATTACTTTGTGGCTGGTCGCGTGTCACAAGGCTGGTGTTTGGTCGCGCGTCACAAGGCTGGTGCTTGGTCGCGCGTCACAAGGCTGGTGCTTGGTCGCGTTTCGAAGGCTGGTGTTTGGTCGCGCGTCACAAGGCTGGTGTTTGGTCGCGCTTCACAAGGCTGGTGCTTGGCCGCGCTTCACAAGGCTGGTGCTTGGCGGTGTTTTGTAGGTCTGGTGCCTGCTGTCCCCTTGACCAAGGCCAGCAGTGAGGCTGGCAGGGGGAGAGGTGGTTGTGGGTGACAGGGTAGCAGATCTTTGGGGTTTTGGCTGTGGTTGGGACGGATGGTTCTGTGATGTAGCCTTGTATCTTCTGTCCATATAATGCAATTTGTTTGCTTCATTGGCTTTTTGTGGATGAAAAGTAATAATGGAATGCTGGATTTTACGGTAGGAAACCTTCAAATCAGCGTGACGCACGCGAAGGAAATCTTGAAGATTTACAGCTCAGCACAAGGGTGGGTGACGTGACCAATCCATTCTTCACCAGGTTTCCCGCCAACCCGCCAATCCCCTCTGCGAACAGCACTTGGTTTCGGGATTTGCGAGAGGGTGAACAAATCCCAAGGCCGCACGGGGTGTTCTTGAGAAATATTCTCAAGTGTTCTTCTTTTTTCTCGAGCTAGTAGGATCCCCATTTCGTTCTTCAGGAGTTCTTGTTGCTTCCCGCCAAGCCACGCTAGGCAGCTGCATTGAGAGAGCGTCATCTCGTCCTTTCCCGACCGTCGCTTGGACCGAAACATGGCGGCTCTTTCCGCGTCTTCCGCGCTGACTGCGGCCAGACTTGCATCTCTTCCGTCGGCCCATTCTTCCTTCTCTCCGCTGCGATCGTCGGGAACAACTCCGCGGTTCACGTTCCGCGTACGCGCAGACGCAGCGGGCGGGGACGCGGAATCCGCGGTTGAGAATGCGCCCGCTCCGCCCAAGAAAAAGACGATTCGGCGCGTGAAAAAGCCGGAAGGGGGAAGCGCGGCGGATGATCTGCTTGCGCCGGGGCGATCTGTGGAGGAGCGCGGTGTGACTGTAGAGGGCGTGGCTAAAGTGGATCGCGGAGAGAGCTCGTCCACGCTCGCGTGAGTCACAATCTGTCGCACAGATCGTTCGCATAGTCGCAGACCACGCTCCATTATCGCACAGACCACTCTCTAGGTGGGCTAAAGTGGATCGCGGAGAGGGCTCGTCCACGCTCGCGTGAGTCACAAAAGAAGCACAGATCGTTCGCCATCGTCGCACAGTCCGTCTCCATTGTCGCCCAGACCGTTCCTCGTCAATGCGATCCAATGCGGTCCATTGCGGTTCATTGTCCGTTCCGCATGGTCGGAGGATGTGAAAATCGTTCTCCTTTTCTTGATCTCAAGACGCACATACAAGTCCTCGTGGGATCCCAAGAGAGGGTACAGATACTGCGAGAGCGAATTCTCCAAAAAGTAGGTGAGGTTTCTGTAATGATACACAATGTAGTAGTGTTTTAGTAGCATCGACACAGGAAATGGAAAAAAACTGCTGCTTCAGGCTTTCGGCATTGTCCCTGGACTTTCCTTCGTCCTTTTCTTTCCCACTCCCTCGTGCTCCCCCCTCCGCCAGGCGTGCGCTCCTCACAGCGGGCGGAGATGCGGCAGTGTTGATTCTCTTCGCCTACATCGGCAGAGCAACGCACGTGTCTGCTGCCATAGACTGGGAGCTCATCAAAACCGCCCAGCCATTTCTTGCTGGTAAGCACACTCTCTTGTTTTGGGTCAGATAAAAAGAATTGGAAGAGTCACGCACGTGTCTGCCGCCATCGACTGGGAGTTCATTAAAACCGCACAGCCATTCCTCGCTGCTAAACATGCGCACTGACTGGAACCCATAAAGACCGCTCATTGACTGGAACTCATAAAGACCGCTCATTGACTGGAACTCATAAAGACCGCTCATTGACTGGAACTCATAAAGACCGCTCATTGACTGGAACTCATAAAGACCGCTCATTGACTGGAACTCATAAAGACCGCTCATTGACTGGAACTCATAAAGACCGCTCATTGACTGGAACCCATAAAGACCGCTCAGTCGTTTCTCGTGAGTACAATGCTCATTTGCTTGCTCTCGTCCGTCTTCTCTCTCGCCTCCTTTCTTCTCTCAACCCCTTCGTTCTGTTTCGCTCTCTTTCAGAATTTTACTGCTCCAATCCCCACTGCTGCCACTCCCTGTTCGTTAATTATCTCTCCTCTCTCACTTCCTTTATCTGGTCTGTCGTCCCACTTCCATCCATCGCTAATCTCACTCGCCACCTTTACCCTCCCACACAGTCCCTCCCCCAACACACTCTCTCCCTTTCACACATTCTCCCCCCACCAGGTTGGTTCATCTCGGCCATCATATTTGGAGACTACAGTGTCGGCAAGCCTCTGCCCACTGCTCACACCACCTCATCCCTACCTCACACTCTTCCCCACCCACACTCTCTTCCCCCCGTACCCCTCACACTCTCTTCCCCCCGTACCCCTCACACTCTCTTCCCCCCGTACCCCTCACACTCTCTTCCCCCCGTACCCCTCACACTCTCTTCCCCCCGTACCCCTCACACTCTCTTCCCCCCATACCCCTCACACTCTCTTCCCCCCGTACCCCTCACACTCTCTTCCCCCCGTACCCCTCACACTCTCTTCCCCCCGTACCCCTCACACTCTCTTCCCCCCGTACCCCTCACACTCTCTTCCCCCCGTACCCCTCACACTCTCTTCCCCCCGTACCCCTAACACTCTCTTCCCCCCATACCCCTCACACTCTCTTCCCCCCGTACCCCTCACACTCTCTTCCCCCCGTACCCCTAACACTCTCTTCCCTCCATACCCCTCACACTCTCTTCCCCCCGTACCCCTCACACTCTCTTTCCCCCGTACCCCTCACACTCTCTTCCCCCCGTACCCCTCACACACTCTTCCCCCCGTACCCCTCACACTCTCTTCCCCCCGTACCCCTCACACTCTCTTTCCCACCAGGTCGTCATCTCCGTCCGCCATCTTATTCGGTGACGGATGGCGTTAAAGGAGACTACAGCGTTGGCAAGCCTCTGCCGTCACCCTACTGCTCACACCACGCCCCGAACACGCCTCTCCCCCCTCCCCTTATCCCCCACTCTCTCCCCCCCCCAGGCTGGTTCATCTCGGCCATCATTTTCGGCGACTACAGCGTTGGCAAGCCAGCTTCGGCCACTGCTCACACCACATCCCCCCACACCACACATGTCCCTCTTCTCTTCTTTCCCCCCCCCCACCACCCACCCCCAACACCCGCACTCTCCCCCCCCCAGGCTGGTGCATCTCGGCCATCATTTTCGGCGACTACAGCGTTGGCAGGCCTCTGCCTGCAACACCAGGAGACGCTGCCAAGGAGGCAGGGAAGACGTGGGCGCTGGGCGTGCCGGTGAGTGGTGTGGAGGTGTTGAGAGGAGTGCTGGGGGCAAGTAAGGGGTGCACAGGAGCATGAACGCCAGGAGATGCTGCCAAGGAGGCAGGGAAGACGTGGGCGCTGGGCAAACCGGTGAGTGCTGTGGGTTGCGGAGGGTTCTGAGGGTTCTGAGGGTTCTGTGTTGGTGCTGGTGACAAGGAGGGGGTGAGCATATTGTCGCCAGGAGACGTTGCCAAGGCGGCAGGAAGACTTGGGCGCTGGGTGTGCTGGTGAGTGCTGTGGGGGTGTTGGGAGGAGTGGCGGGAGCATTGCATGTGATGACGCTTCCAAGGCTAGAGGCAGCTGCCAAGGTGGCAGGGAAGATCTGGGCGCTGGGCGTGCTAGTAAGTGTTGCAGCAGGTGTTGTGGGGTGTGACAATGGGTGCTGTGGATGCGTCATGACTGCACTCTTAATGTTGGCCTGGAGGGCTGCCCTTTCACTCCTGATCATTTCCCCTTCTCTCCTCCTTCTCCCCCTTTTCTCCCCCCTTTCCCCTTTTTTTCCCCCTTCTCTCCCCCTCCTTCTCCCCAACTCCAGCTAGGCATCGCGTTCCGCAGTCTCATCAAGGGCCAGCCCCCCCAGCTGCCGTTCCTAGCAGTCACCATTGTCATGACCTCACTTCTCATTCTCGGCTGGAGGGCTGCCCTCACTCCGGCTCTGCCTTACAATCGCCCTTCTCTCCCCCTCCGCTCCCCCTTCTCCCCCACTCCTCTCCCCCTCCTTCTACCCAACTCCAGCTAGGCATTGCGTTCCGCAGTCTCATCAAGGGTCAGCCCCCTCAGCTGCCCTTCCTAGCAGTTGCCATCGTCATGACCTCACTGCTCATGCTCGGCTGGCGGGCTGCCCTTGCTGCAGCTCTGCCGGGAGATGGCGGGGAGAAGTCCAAGCTGGACCGCAAGGGGAGCGTGTTCGAGCTGCTGGAGGTGAGTAGTGGGCTGTGATAGACGCTGCCCTTCCTAGCAGTCGCAATCGTCATGACTGCAGTTTTCATGCTCGGTTGGAGGGCTGCCCTCACTGCGGCTATGCCTGGAGATGGCGAGGAGAATTCCAAGCTGGACCGCAAGGGGAGCGTGTTGGAGCTGCTGGAGGTGAGTAGGTTTCGCTGTTCAGTGGGGATGTGGTTGAAATGGCCTCCCTCTCTATGACGGCACTCCTCATGCTGGGGGGCGGGCTGCCCTCGCTGCGGCTCTCCCGGGGGATGGCGGGGAGAAGTCAAAGCTAGACCGCAAGGGGAGCGTGTTGGAGCTGCTGGAGGTGAGTAGTGTAGGTGGGTGAGAGAGGTGAGTTGCAGCACTCTCCCTTGTCGCCACCAACTGCCCTCTCAGTGCTCTGCGTGTGATGAGTCGATTTTTTAGTCGACTAAAAAATCTACTCATCCCAGGTGAGTTGCAGCACTCCCCCTTGTCGCAACACAACTGCCCACTTAGTGCTCTGCTGACGGGCTGCCCTTGCTGCTGCTATGCGGGGGGGTGGCGGGGAGAAGTCAAATCAAATATGGACCGCAAAGTGAGCGTGTTCGAGCTGCTGGAGGTGAGCAGTAGGATGGGACCAAATGTGATTGTTTGAGTTGAATCAAATATCCTCCCTTAAAAGTTTGTTTTGGTTACAGTTGCAGGCATTGCTTGTCAGATGGTGGTGAGGTCATAGGCGGTGCAATTGCAGTTGGGGCTGCGATGACTGAAAACCATGGAAGGTAGAAGATGGTCACGCTTGACCATAATAACCCTCCCTTCCACCGCACCCCCTCCCTTTTCCCGTGACGCTTTGGTTACAGTTGCTGACATCACTTGTCAGGCGGTGGTGAGGTGATAGGTGGTCCTATGGCAGTGTGGGCTGAATTGAGAACCCCGTAGGTCGAAGATGTGCATCTTGTAGTGTACCCAGTTTACTGTAGATCGCTTACGGTACATGGATAATAACCTGTAGCCGGACAAGCACACAAATAGTGCAGCTTGGTGCAAGTTTTTAACTGTTGGTGGGAGGGCAAGTTGGGATGGGGTACAAAGAGGTAAATCAGGTGATGGATGCCCAATCATGTGACATTTTCTGCAATGTATGCACTAATACATGAGCATCAGTTTCAGGATCATGTAATGCTAATGCTCCATATCAACCTTGACCTAATTGAAGAGTTCAATGAGTTCCTGCCTCAGTTTTTGCTCTAGTATCCAGAAGGGCAAAACTGAATGGTATTATAACATCTGTTCTAGGAGATACCATGTCAATATTACGTGAGCGAACCTCGTTATTGTCCTCACAGCCAGAAGCTTCGCTCACTCGTCCACTTTCGCCAAGCTCTGTGGGAGACGGGGCACACGCGAACGTGTCGCACGTTATCTCCATTCGCGGCTGCTGACCTGGCCGAGCTGCCACCCGATACAAGCTCCTGCTATTCGCGGCCAACGGGTTTCCCCAAATCCACCCGGAATTACGCTCGTCCTGGCTGCTCAACTGCCCCTTCCAACCACCTTAAGTGCAATTCTACACCTATGCTCCAACACAGAGCGGCCAGGAACAGCTCCTGTGCGTGAACTTAGTTCAGCTAAAGAAACGCTAAAGTTAGCGTAGGCCTCTGGCTTGGGTTACACCTTGTTTAGCCTCTGTGCTGTCTGGGTTACGACCTTAATAAAAACTTAAAACTTAAACCTCGCGGCTGCTGACCTGGCATCGTACCCTCTTGACTGTCCTCCACACCGCACCACAGTGGCGGCCTTGACGCCCACAAAACAACCACCACAATCAGCAACACATTCATTGACGAAACAAGATTTCGCCGTAGTAACCAGATGTCGTAAATGTTCACCTTTTCCAGAAAAAGGGCAAAATCAGTTCTGCGCATGACTCCATTTTCTGGCGGCAGTCACGCTTCCTAGCAAAAGGGCGCGTCAATTAGTTCCTAACAAAGAAGGGCGTGAATTGGATTCTAACAAGAGTGTGCGTGGGTTGGTGCGGTGAATTACATTAATTCTTCATCACATCGTAGCTGATCCTAGTAGTGTTTCTTTCATGGCCGTGTCTCAAGAAGGTTCGGGCAATGGGGCCGACACGGCGCACGCGAAGAGACTGATAGCTGAGCGTGCTCGCGCTGACGCGGAAAAGGCTAGAGCTGCGGCGGAGGAGAGGCGCGCGGAGGCTGTGAAATTGCGCGTCGAGGCGGAAGTAAAGCAGCAGGCGGCGGAGGAGAAGCGAAGGTTGGCAGAAGAAAAGCGGAGGATCGCGGAGAAGGCCAAAGAGGAGGCGCAAGCTCGGCAGGCGGATGCGGAGAGCGCGCAGGCTGAAGCGGAGAGGAAGGCGGAGGCAGCAGCGCGGCGGAAAGCGGAGGCGGCGGAAGCGAAGGAGCAGGCGAATGCGGCGATGCAGCGCGCGGTGAGTGCGCGGGAGGAGGCAGATGCGAAGAGAGAGCGCGCGAAGCAGGCGAAGGCGGAGGCTGATGAGAAGAGGGAGAAAGCTGCGCAAGCCAAGGCAGAGGCAGACCGGAAGCAGGCTGAGGCAGAGCAAGCGAGGGAGACAGCCGAGGCTGCGAGAGCGAAGGCTGTGAGCGGGAGGGAGGTTGCGGAGAAAGCCCAGCAAGTGGCGGAACTGGCGAAGGAGGAAGCGGAGAGGGCGAGGGGCGAGGCGAAGCAGGCTCAGGAGAAGGCGGAGGCTGCTCGGGCTGCTGCGGAGGGGAAGAGGGAAGAGGCGGAGAAGGCGAAGCAGAGCGCGCGGGCGCGTCTGGAGGAGTCTGTGGCGCTGAAGGAAAGGGCCGCTGAGGCGCGAGCTGCGGCGGAAAAGGAGCACGCGGAGCTGGAGAGGCGGAAGGGCGAAGCGGAGAGCGCGCGGGAGAAGGCGGAGGCGCAGAGGAGGGAGGCTGAGGAGAAGAAGCAGCATGCTGAGAAGGCGAAGGAGGACGCGGAGCGGAAGAGGATTGAGGCGGAAAAGGCGAAGGAGGAGGCTGGGAGGGCGAAGGTGGATGCGGAGAGGGCGAGGGAGGAGGCGGCGAGGAGGCAGGAGGAGGCGGAGGGGAAGCGGGGTGAGGCGGAGAGGAAGCAGCAGGAGGCAGAGAGGTTGCGGGAGGAGGCGGAGAAGGGGAGGTTGGCTGCTGAGCAGGCGAGAGCGCAGGCGGAGCAGGCGAGGGAAAGGAAGAAGGAGCTAGAGCTGAAAGCTGCGGCAAAGTGAAAAGGAACCTGGAGACTAGGGAGGGCTCTCTGAGGTGCTTCTTCTATTGAGTTGCTTTGGACGACAATCAGTAATTGTGGTACTACTGTTCACATGTTAGTGTTACAGGGATGCTTCAATTACCTCCTCCAAGTTCCTAATCCCAACTTGGAGGATATGTGGGATACTATGAGGTAGAGTGCTGCGGCCTCTGTTTCAAAGGAGTAAGTGAAACTATGCAGTTGGTAGTCTAGTGGGCTCGGATCATTGGTGGGCTCGGATCATTGGTGGGCTCGGATCATTGGTTTCTTATGTAAGGCTGATTGTGACGTTTGAAGAAAGGACTTGACTGCCAGATATAACCATGAGTAAAATTGCTGTATCTTGAAAAGCTGCATGAACATTGCACGATGTATACATGGATTGCTGTTCGCGCAATCAGAATGTAAGCCTCGCTGTTATCACATCAACGAAGTATTTGTTTCTTCGCGTACTCTTCGCAACAATCTCATTGCAGAAGCTCGACGTGGAATCCGTGCCGCGAAGATTTCGTTGCTCTCACGGCGCAGTCACAAACTAGAGGTTGGGCCCCACGTCCGAACCTCAACAGCAGATTCATCAACCAGCTAGTCTGTCATGCTATTGGCCCTCATACAAGACCGAACCACAATCTCCCGACATAATGATTTCCTTACCTCCGAGCCTATATTTCTGGCGCAAGCGGGGCTTCTCGCCGTGGCGAGGTGAAGGTAGGTGAGAAACCAAACCTCAGAGAACCTTTTACCTGTAGGAGGTTCGACAGGGGCCAAAACCAGGACCTGCCGAGGCACGACGGGACGAAACCTAGGTCCTGCCCTAAATCCCTGAGCCTCGAGTCCTCCTCCTGAGCCCTGACCTAGGAGTTGGTCGGGGAGGAAACGGTTGGGAGAAAACAGGCCTGAGCTGTGGGAAGAGGGCGAGGTGAGGTGACTCCAGGATTGACGCGCAAGAGGGAGAAACATCAGCTATCCGCATGCTTAGGACGCGTCACCTCCCTCGATCGATCGCAGGATCGCCAGGAAAAACCGATCGGGCACACCGATCGCAGGTTTGGGGCACGACTGGTGGGAGGTGACAGCTGAACATCGATCGCAGGTTGGTTTCGAGCCCTGGGTGACGCGTTCGGTATTGCGACAGGGGACATGGTTGGGCGAAAATATGCAGCACCGTCGTATGGATGGTTTGCGATAGAAAACATGAGACGATACAGGTAACCCTGCAAACTGTGCGACGGCGATCGATCTTGCCTGTCACTTTGAGCGCAAGCTTGGAGCTCACGCAAAATCGGTGTGTGTATGATGATGCAACAATCGCGATTGGGGGGAGGTGACAAGATCGTGGTGCACCCGTTACTGGGCGTTCGTTAACTGTCTCGAAAAAGGGTATCCCTGTAAACTGCGATGCTACAAATTAACTGTAGCATGCCAAACATCGATCCTACGCCGGGTCGATCGAGGGAGGTGACGCGTCCTTATGCGTCATTTGCGGTTCCAGCTTTCAAGATAGAGTTTGCGAGACTTGAGTATACGCGTCCTGCTTTAAAAGTGCTCTTGTTTTTTTTTTTTTTCAGGAAGGAGTGCATTAGCGAGCGTGTTCGGTCCACCGATTAGTTTTGTAGTGCGAAGTGCTCTATTCTATGTTCGGCAAGACTGTTGCGATCGAATAACCAAAATTCTAGGGCAATTTTTCAATATTGCAATTAAGTGCTTTCCATTGTTTCCCACCAGCTATTCCGTTGCGACAACGAACCATCGCAATATCCCCTTCTAGAAGTTGCGTCGGTGCTTCCAGGATCCAATTTGCCCAGGCCCCAAACTTCCGAAGCCCGGAAATAACATCTCTCGATCAGCTTCTAGTTTCTTCGTCTTGAACACACGCTACCAATGTCGGACGCGGAAGAAGCGGAAAATGCGCCGGTTGAGGAGGTTACACAGGGAGAGGCGCCTGCTAAGGAAGCAGCAGGCGATGATGGTGGTGGGGGTGAAGGAGAAGGAGGAGAAGAAGCTGAGGAAGTTGGGGACGAGGGAACGGGAGAAGAGGAAACAGCCGAAGAAGTAAAGGATGATGCAAATGATGGAGAGAAGGAAAGCGAAGGGGGAAATGCTGGTGACGAAGAAGGGGGGGTAGAAGCGGAAGTTACCCCTGCTGAAGCGGGTGAAGCAACTGAAGCAGGTGAAACGAGTGGTGCTGGTGACGCAGGAGAAGCAAGCGACTCGGGAGAAGCGGCTGAAGGAGGTGAAGCAGAAGAAACAAGCGGAGAAACGAACGCGACAGGAGAAGCTGAAGCAGGTGAAGCTGCTGAGGCGGTTGCGGAAGAAAATGTGGAAGAGGCGGCTGAGGGGATCAGCGAGGCGGATGCTGAGAGCGCTGCTGATGGGAAGACAGAGGCGGAAGCCGGCGACGCTGCGCCGGCGGAAGCCGAGCAAGCGGAAGCGGAGCAGGCGGAAGGGGAGCAGGCGGAAGGGGAACAGTCAAAGGGAGATGACGATCAAGGGAGCGACAAAGGGGAGGCTGAGGATGCAGAGGCGGGTGTGACTGAACCGGGAGGGTCGAACGCAGAGGAAGTAGCTGCAGAGGAGACTGCTACAGCCGAGGCTACAACCGAGGGTACAGCCGAGGCTACAGCCGAGTCGAGTGCAGAAGCAGGTGAGGAGACCAACGAAGAGGCGAGTGGGGAGGCGAGTGGGGAGGCAACTGGTGAGCCGAGTGATGCTGCTGGTGGAGGTGAAGGGGGAGATCTGGAGGGAACGACGAGTGATGGGGAGTCACGAGCGGCAGAAGGAGAGATGGAGGACGAGGGGAAGGAAGATGACACAGGGGACGGACCGGTGGAGGAGAAAGGTGAGGAGGAGAGCTCAGGAGGACAAGGAGAAGGAGAGAAGGGAGAAGAGGAGGGAAGTGGCGAGGAGGTGAGGAACGAAGTGGGAGCGGAAGGGGAGGAAGATCGAGGAGAGGAGGGAGGAGAGCGGACAGAAGGAGGAGGAGAAGAAGGTATTGAAGCGGCAGCTGGAGGAGCAAGCGGCGAGGTTGATGGGGAGGGGGCAGCGGAGGAGGCGGAGGGGGATAAAGAAGAAGATGCGGAGAAGAATGATGACGTGGCATCTGTGTCGTCAGGTGGCGGCGATGGGGAGGATGAACGGGCAGGTGAAGAAAGCGAGGAGAGAATACAGGATGGAGAGATGGGTGGAGATGAGACAGGGGAGGACGAGAAGGGGCAGGAGGAGGAGAGTTCCGAGGCAGAGGGGGTTGGAGGAGAGATGGGCGAGTCTAAGTTGGAGGAAGGAGCAGGAGAGGAGGTGATAGGGGAAGCAGCGAGTGCGGAGCAATTGGGGGGAGAACCGGGGGAAGGGGAGGAAACGGAGGAGAAAGATAAGGGTGGGGTTGAGGAGGAGAGGGAGGGGGAGGGAGTTACTATTCATGTTGATGGTGACAATGGGATGGAAGAGGAGGGGAAGGCAGAGGAGGAAGCGGCAGGGGAGGCTAATGGCTTGCAGGTAGAGAAAGGGAAAGAATCGAAGGAGGGAGAGGGAAGAGGGGAAGAGGGGGAGGTGGAAGCTGGTGCAGGTCAGAACCATGTGAAGGATGGAGAGGGGAGTGAGGAGGGGAGTGAGAAGGGGAGTGAGAAGGGGAGTGAGAAGGGGAGTGACAAGAGTGAGAGTAGTAGTGACAGCGATAGCAGCAGCGAGAGTGGGAGTGACAAGGAGGGGGATGACGATGAGAAGGAGAAGAAGAAGAAAGATAAAAAGGAGAAGAAGGATAAGGAGGGTAAGAAAAAGAAGAAGGATAAGAAGGATAAAGAGGGCAAGAAGGATAAAAAGGATAAAGGGAAGAAGAAGAAGAAGAAAAAGGACGAAGACGAGGAAGAGGAAGAGGATGACAAGGAAATGAAGTCCAAGATAGCTGAAGAAATGAAGTCAAAGATAGAGGCAATGGAGGCCTTGATGGCTGGGATGAAAACAGAAGCAGAGGTGCAAGCGCTGCTGCAGGCACAAGAGACAGAATGGGCCGCCCGCCTCGCCGAAGCAGAAGAAAGGGTCCAAAAGATGCGACTCCTTAGGCAAGCCTTGGAGCTACGAGCGTCCAAGGCGGAGGAGCAACTGGGGAAGCTGAAAGAAGAGCTGGAAGCGGAGGAGGAGAGGAGGATAGCGGCGGAAGAAGCTAGGGACGAGGCGGAGGAGGGGCGAAGGGTGGCTGAGGAGGGCATGGAGGCGATGGTGGATGCTAAGAGGCAGACGGTGAAGAACCTGACAGAGAGTTTGCTGGCTTCGGAGGAGCAGAGGAAGAGGCTTGTTGCCGTGCTACGATCCGTGAACGGAGGTAAGACTTAGGGTGTTGCCGGTGTTGCTGGTGTTGCTGGTGTGGTTTGGTGTGAGTCGTTTGGGGGGGAGGAGGGGCGGCGGTTGGCTGAGGAGGGCATGGAGGCGATGGTGGATGCTAAGAGGCAGACGGTGAAGAATCTCAGAGAGTCTGCTGGCTTCATAGGAGCAGAGGAAGAGGCTCGTTGCTGTGCTGTGACCCGTGAATGGAGGTAAGGCTTGGGGTGCTGGTTGTGAGACGTTTGAGTAGTGATTACAATCGGTGTATGGAGGTTCGATGGGGTGGGGTGGTGGTTTGGTTGGCTTGTCTAAGGAAGTGGAAGAGGCTCTATGTTGTGCTGTGATCTCTAAATGGAGGTGAGTGGTGGGACGCGGTGTGCGGTGTTGGAGTTTGGTTGAGTACGCTTGTGCACGCTAGCTTTCTCTTACATACTGGTTTCCAAATTGAGAGTAGAAACGTTGGCGATAAGGAAATGGACAGTCATATTGACATTCATGTTGCCATGGGTAATAATAGCGGCACCCTAAGGTAAAAACGAAGCCCTTTGCTGCAAGAAAGTGGTGCAAAAGGTATTGTAGCATGGATTCTGATGATCTTATAACCACTTCACCTGTGGCAGACAATAATCAACCAAGTATGGAGCACCATCACTTATATCGAGGTGTATTTTGAGGCGCCTCAAAATATAGTGATGATCTCATAACCACTTCACCTGTGGCAAGCAATAACCAGCCAAGTATGCGGCACCATCACTTGTATTAAGATTTTCAGACCTGACTTGCCTTCCTCCCCCTCGTCCCCTCGCTCTCACCCTCTCACCCGCATGACCCCTCAGTCCCCTTTTCCTGTAGCAGACCAGAACCAGTGAGTATGGGGCACACTGACTTGCCTCCCTCCGACCACCACCTATGAATTATCTCAAACCTGACTTGCCTCCTCTCCGCCTCATCCCCTCAACCTCTCACCCCCTCACCCCCACGACCCCCCCACCCTGTTTCTCTCCTCCCTGGCAGACCAAAACCAGTCAGTATGGGCACGTCTTGGAATTTTCAATCATGCTCTCACCCTCTCAACCCCACGACCCCTCCACCCCTTTTTCCTATGGCAGATCAAAACCACCAGTCAGTATGGGGCACCATCATGTCGTGAGCATTCGCATTAATCGTTTTCCTCTCTCCCTCAACCCCTCACCTTCTCGATCCCTTGCACCCTGTCTCTCTCCTGTGGCAGATCAGAACCAGTCAGTATGGGGCACCATCATGTCATGTGAGTTGCTTCCGCACACACTTCCACACACACACTCCATGTTAAGTGGGCCACCACTACTGCCCTCCATGCACCATCTGCTGCATCAGTCTGTGCTCATCCGTTTATAGTTTTGAGACGTCTCAAAACTACACTTTTAACATGTGGCTGTCATGTGAGCTGCTCCCACACACACACTCCATGCTAAGTTGGGTCATCTGGCATCACTACTGCCCTCCATGCACCATGTGCTGCATCAGTCTGTGCTCACCCACCCATTCATAATGCCTCCGCATAACATGCCCTCGCATTCGTACTCATGCCATTTCGCAACATCCTCGTTTCTCACACACACATGCCCTTGCACAAGATGATGCTTTTTCATGCTCATGCCATGCTTGACCACATGCGCATAGCATACTGGCACTATCGATCGTTGAGAGTTCTCAAAAGTGACACTCGCGCAGCATTGTTACTTCCCATGGTGTTGACACCACCAGAACTGACTTTTGAGTCGACTCAAAAGTCAGCATAGCATACCATTACTTTCCATAATGTTGTCACCACCAGAATCTCATTGTTATTACATGCTCTAGCGTCTCGCTCCATGCGACATCACTGGCCGATCCCTGCTGTTCAACCCCCTCACTCTCATCGTCCTAATCCCTCTCATCTCTCTTCCCCCCTCCCCCACTTCCCCCCCCCCCTCTTTCCTGCTCATCATCGCTCTTGTCCCGCTCATCATCCCTCTCTTTCCCCGCTTCATCCTCTATCTGCCACTCAGTTTTCGATGCCAACAAGGCGTGATGGGCACTTGAGCCAGGGTCGCTGCAGCTCCATCATCCCTCATCATCCAGTCTCAAGCTTGCTAGCTTTTTGCAAGATTTCCCACAATTTGAACTCGGAGGTTGAAGTTGGAAGCAGCCGCAGCAGCAGAGGAAGTTGGAAGCTCCATTTTCTAGTTGTGGAAAATCATGCAGCAGGTTCGAGTTTATCCTTAATAATTTCACGGCGTTTGCAAGAGAAGGTGCCTTGCCCACACATGGCGCTGGCCGAACTGGCGACGCTCGAGCTGCTTTGCAGAACGCCCGACAGAGTGAAGCTTCAAGGCCTATTAGATGGTGAAGCTGTGTGGGTGGAAGAGGCTCGGTGAAAGCTGCGGCAGTGGAGGTTTTGGTGCAAAGCATATTTCACTAACCGCATCTGCTCCGCTGCCCCAGAACCTCTTTCCGTTATTTATTCTCCGTTATTTGACCTTTTATTCTCCTTCCAGTGACTTAAATCCTGCCTATGTAGTGATCAGCTGCTAACATAGTTAGGTTTTTTCTTGCTCTGAAATTTGTGCGTACCTAATTATCTTTATGAATAGTATACCACTAAAGGTTCCCGACCGAACCAGAAAATGAACCATCTGGCACCGTTTTGATTATCAGTGTTGGGGAATTACAGTATCAGCGACTGAGTTGTGTGGTTTGGACACGAGGCAAGGTGACTGGTTGGGACGAAGGCTCGGTGAGAGCGTGAGGACGGAGGGTACCCGCGCTGGGGTGTTAGTTCGCACGCATTAACGCGTCTCTACACTGACAAAATGTTGGACAATGTAGCCAAGGTGGAAATGAACTGTCACTGAATAAATACTAGGTCCGTCCTAATGCTACAAAGCAATTCTGCCAACAGTCATCTACTCACATAAAAATCACGCTACTCCTACCAAGAACCACACCAAGAAACTCATACTCATTTCACTTGAAAACCTTTTTCAAAAAGCCGCGGCTTTTGAGCTCGAGCTCCTTCTTGGTCTCTTCCAGCACGTGAGCTGTGTGATCCCTCGCCTGCTCCGCCTCCGCCCTCGCTTGCTCCGCAATCAACCTCCCCTTCTCCGCCTCCTTCGTCAACTTCTCCGCCTTCTCCCTCAACCTATCCGCCTCATCCCTCAGTCTCTCTGCCTCCTGCTGCTTCCTCTCCGCCTCATCCCGCTTCCCCTCCGCCTCCTCCCGCCTCCTCACCGCCTCATTTCTCGCACTCTCAGCATCCAGTTTCGCGTTCACAGCCTCTAGCTTCACTCTCACAGCCTCCTCTTTCACCCCTTCCGCCTCATCCCTCCTGCGCTCAGACTCCTCCCTGGCCTTCTCAGCCTCACTCCTCTTCCGTTCCGCCTCCTCTCTAGCCTTCTCAGCCTGCTGCCACTTCAACTCAGACTCATCCCTCTGCGCTTCAGCCTCCGCCCTCGCTCTCTCCGCCTCAGCCTTCAGCCTCCCAAGCTCCGCATGCTCCTTCTCGGCTGCAGCTCTGGCCTCAGCAGCCTCTCCCAGCAGCGCCAGAGATTCCTGCAGACTAGCCCGCGCGGCCTGCTTCGCTTTCTCAGCCTCTTCCCTCCCCTCCTCCGCATCAGCCCGTAGACCATCAGCTTCCTCGCGCAACTTCTCCGCCTCGTCTCTCGCCCTCTCCGCTTCCTCCTGCGCTTGTTCCGCCTCCTGCTGAGCTTTCTCCGCAACCTCCCTCGCCCTCACAGCCTCCTCTCTCTCCGCTTCTGCTGCCTCCCTCGCTCGCTCTGCCTCAGCCTGCTTCTGGTCTGCCTCTGCCTTGGCTTGCTCCGCCTCCTCCCGCTTCTCATCATTCTCTGCCTTTGCCTGCTCTGCCTGCTCTCTCTTCGCATCTGCTTCCTCCTTCTCCCTCACTGCCTGCTCCTTAGCTTCCTCCGCCTCCTCCTTCCGCTGCTCTGCTTCTCTCTCCTTCCTCTCTGCTTCACTCTGAGCCCTCTCCGCCTCTGCCTGCCTCGCTTCAGCCTCATCCTTTGCCTCCTCTGCCGCCCTCCTCCCCTCCTCCGCCTCTCTCTGCCTCTCCTCAGCCTCCTGCTGCTTACCTTCAGCCTCTGCACGGGCCTTCTCAGCCTCCTCCCGCTTCTCCTCCGCAGCAGCTCTCGCCTTCTCTGCTTCCTCCCGGGCACTCTCAGCTTCAATTCTCTTCCCATCAGCCTCCTCTTTCGCCTGCACAGCACTATCCCTCTCCTTCTCAGCCTCCTCCTGCTTCTTCTCAGCAACTTCCTCGGCTTTCACAGCCTCATCTCTCCTCGCCTCCGCCTCCTCCTGCCTCTTCTCAGCCTCCTCTTTCGCCTGTTCAGCCTCCTCCTTTGCCCTCACAGCCTCGTCCCTCACCCTCTCCGCCTCCTCCCTTGCCTTCTCAGCATCTCTCATCCTACCCTCCGCCTCCTCCTGGTTCCTCTCCGCCACTGCCCGGGCCTCTTCAGCCTCTCCCTTTTTCATCTCCGCCTGCTCCCTCTGCTCTTCCGCCTCTGCTTGCTTCCTCAAGGCCTCTTCCTTAGCTGCTTCAGCAGCATCTCTCACCCTCTCCGCCTCCTCTCTTGCAGCCTCTGCTTCATCCCTTGCCTTCTCTGCCGCAGCCTGCCTTGCCTGCGCCTCCTCCCTCGCTTCTTCCGCCTCCTCCCTTGCGCTCACAGCCTCATCTCTCTGCCTCTCCGCCTCATCCCTCACCCTCTCCGCCTCCTCCTTTGCACGCTCCGCCTCCCCTTGCCTCGCTTCCGCCTCTGCCTGAGCCTGCTCCGCAGCCTCCCTCCCCTTCTCCGCCTCCTCCTGTTTCCTCTCAGCCTCACCACGAGCACCCTCCGCCTCCTCCTGCCTCCTCCCCGCCTCCTCTCTCGCCTTAACCGCCTCATCCCTCTCAGCCTCTGCCTTTGCTCGTGCCGCTTCAGCCAACGCTTTAGCCTCCTCTGCCCGAGCCTGCGCTTCCTCTGCCTCTCCCTTAGCCTTCTCTGCCTCGTCTCTCTTCCCTTCCGCCTCCTCCTTATCCCTCACAGCGTCCTCCCTTGCCCTCTCCGCCTCCTCCTCCCTCCTCACTGCCTCGTCCCTCCGCCTCTCCGCCTCCTCCCTCTTCCCCTCCGCCTCCTCCCTCGCCCTTTCCGCCTCTGCCTGCTTCCTTTCCGCCTCCTCCCGCATCCCCTCCGCCTCCGCCC